TCAGAACCAACTCCATGGCACACAGCACCGTCATTATAGAATGCAAATGATACCACCGCACTGCTTTCTCTAGTCCAACTTCTGCCTTTATAGTAGAAAAGACCAGCACATGCCATATTTTCCAAACCTTTTTAAAAAACTATCTTACAGCCTTCCTTATTAATTCATGGTTATAATTTTTATGCTTCAAAATCATTACTTCAGGAAATTTTTCTAGTCCGGATCCCTCCCATTGTAGTGTTTGATCTTATATATATCCTCCATGTTGTTAAGTGCGTTTGAATTGATTCCAACCCACTGTGACCCCTGTATAGGGTTTCCAAGGGGCGTCTGGGGAGCTTGAACTACCAACCTCTAGTGGTTCAAACCAATTTTGCTATCCAGCACATTAACCCAGAGCACCACACCAGGACGCCTATATCCTCCATAGTGGCAGAAAATCTATGGAATTTGAGGCCAAGAGAAAGAGACATGAAAGATAACTGCGTATGTCCTAAGCTGATCCAGAAAGCTTCCCTATATGCTCTTGTTTCATAATCTCTTAGAGTTTCATAATCTCTAGTTACCTAGGAAACTGACTTGAAGGATTAGTGGAAATGGAAAAGACAATCGTGAAGAATTATGGAAAATATAAGGAAAGTAGCTGCAGAGACTGCTTATGTACAACTAAACAACCTCATAGGATTTGGTTCCTTGGTTTGGAGATTTAGGGTCATGGTTCATGGGATATACCAATTAATTGGCCTAATATCATCGAGCTTCTGTTCTACCCATAACTTATTGAGTTGTGCCTTGGGTCTTAAGAGCTTGCAGGTGGTCATTGGAAGTACAACAGTTGGTCTCTATTTGGAAAAACAGAGGAAGAAGGAGAGTCAGGAATAGGAGGGGAAAATGGAGTGTGTGGCTAGTTGCCTCCATGAACAACTGCCTCTTTTGCCATGAGACCACAGGAACTGGATGGTGATCAGCTACCTTTACCGAACAGTTTGATTAAAGATCCCATAGAAGAATCCTAATCAAAAGCAGGGAAAATGTAGAACAGAATTTCAAAATCTAATGGACTCCTGACTTCCTAGAGTCATGGAGGGTAAAGTCAACCTTAACAGACTGTAGCTGTACATGCTGAGATAATTTTTGAACTTAAACTAAAAATATCCCATGAAATATTCTTCAAAGCTAACAATAGTTTAGCTTAACTAATGAAGAATAATGTATGTCTTAAGCATTATGCTCTTTTAACACCTGTAGGGATCAAATTGACAGCAGCAACTCAAAAGATTGGATAGGAACCTTTGCTAGCATAGAACACATTGTTCCTCAGAATACATCTAAGATACAATGCCTTGAACTCCACTTAGTTAGAATTCGTTGCTCCTTTTCAGATGTTGACATGCTCTTTCAGTTTTGTAAAAAGCACAATTATAGACAATCATATTGTAAAACGTGAAATGTAATTTCTCATTTATCTTTATAACTGTCAAATGTGTCCTCAGTCTGTCATTGTCTTTTTTAAACATTTTGAGTTGACCTAGAAAGATAACATGAATGAGTGTATAGTTTTTGCTCTTGGTCAATAGGTAAAATTCTAAAATGTACATTTTCTGGTTATACTAGGTTCCCCCTCTGCTATGGGCAATCGTGTATATAATCATTTAAACAATGAAAGGGCACATTCTACAAGCCTGCCTCCTGGCTGCAAACACACAACCTTTGTATTTCCATAAGGTAGAGTCCTCAGTGATCTATCTCACCGTGTCCTCATCTCTGCCTCCATCTCTGGTGTCATTGCTTCTCCGGATAGGGTTTCACATTACGTTCATGCTCTTCTCCCTTGATAAGCCTAGGGTCCTCTGTTCCTTGAATGTAAGATTAACTACTCCCCCCTGTATGTTACAAAACTTCTACTTTTACAGTTGTGGCAATTGCAATTAGTCATGATACCAGCTACTCACTATTGACTCATAAGAATCTTATCCTCATTTCATTTCACCAGACACTCATCTAGACAAGATGAAAACCATTCAGTGGGGATTCTACCTTCTCCTTCACGCTCTAAAACTAAACTCCCTCTTGAAAATTTGTAAGCCAGTCACTTCATGCCTTTATGTTGTTGTTGTTGTTAAGTGCCCTCGAATTGATTCAGACCCATAGTGACCCTGTATTGGGTTTCCAAGGAGCTGCTGATGAGCTTGAACCACCGACCTTGCAGTTCAAACGCCTTTGCAATCTGGTGCATTAACCCACAGAGCCACATGCCTGTATAGCCCCCCGCCCCCCATTGTAGGTTTTTATTGTTAAGTACCTTGGAGGCGGTTCCAGCTCATAGTGACCCTGCGCAGGGTTTCTGAGGCTATGAATCTTTACGGGAGCAGAACACCTCATCTTTCTCCCGTGGAACCACTGGTAGTTTCGAACTGCTGACCTTGAGGTTGGCAGCCCAACTCGTAACCATTTTAGGTAGCTA